ACTGCATTGGCTTTTTTTTTGGGAGCTGCAATACAGCTTATATTTAAGGGGTTTTCTACGAGGGCAGCTGGGTCCCTCCCATAGTTAATACTGTTGAGCCAGGTACACGTGTAGGGCGTTAACAATAATTTAAACAGGTCAATTGATCTCTCTCTCTCTCTCTCTCTCTCTCTCTCTCTCTCTCACTCACTCACTCACTCACTCACTCACTCACTCACTCACTTAAGTGTAGTAACTTTTATTTAGTTGTAGTAGTTGTAGTACAACTACTTGTAGTAATTACTTGTACTAATTTTTCCCTGTCCTGGTTTTCTCCCACAGGATATCCTTTTTGATGCAAATACGCATAGAGTAAAGAAATTTGTTTTGCATACCAATTATCCTGGTCATTATAACTTTAACATGTGAGTAAAAAGTTCTTATATGCCCCCATTTTCTATTTCAGTTTGAAAAGTTATGGGCTAGGGCAGTGGCCCACCACCTTTTTGCAGCTTGGCAGCCGGGCTGAGAGGGAGAAGGAGGGGAACCGGCCCTCCGCTCGTGTGAGTGAGCTGCCACACTGGCCGCCTCTCGCACGGCCCAGTTTTGAATAGGCCACGGCCTGATAGTTGGTGACGCCCGAGCTAAAGGATGGATGTGCCAGGGCCTAGAAATTTTGTGCTTTGCTGGATTTCCACCAATGGAAACACACAATGCCTAATTTATTGTTTCTAAATCTTCATCGAACATTTGAATAAGGATTCTGATTTTTCCCAAAGAAATTCCCAAGACAGTCAAAAGCGTTTTATCTTCTTATTCCATGAAATAGAGCCAGTCCTCCCTTAACGATCAAAATTGAGCCCAGGAATTGTGGGTGTAAGTTGTTCTAGTCTTTAAGCGGCCCACCATGTTACTTGGTTCAATTTTACACCATTTTTTATGACAGTTGTAAAGCAAGTCCCTGCAGTCGTTAAGCAAATCAGATGGTGGCTAAGCAAATCCATTTTTTTTCCGAATAGGCATTTTTTGCCAGAAACGTCGAAAACCATGGTCACATGATTGTGAGATGATTGGAAAATGGATGCTGATATTCATAGTGAATATTCTTACAAGATCCATGCAAGACTGCAGATTATAAAACATGCATTTCACCTTTAAACCTTTTTGAATATGAAATATATTTCAAGTGTCAGACACACACACACACACACACACA